ATTCAGTTCAGTGCAATTTAGCGCCTTTTAACATGTGGATATTTCAGTTACTTTTAATTATGCTCGCATAAGTATTTTTTGTACATTTCAAACCCTTGAATCTCTTCATTTTGCTGCCGCAGAACTTTTTGATAGTCGGTTTCCCCATTCCCCATCACTACCACCGCGCTCCTTTCTCATCGAACAAGTTTAGCTTCTCCTTTTTTCTCCCCATTCATACCTTCCCTGCTTTCCCCCCTCCCTCCGCCCCTGTCTTTTACATAACAATAACTGAAATATCCACGCCATTTTAACTTCGGAACCATTCAAGCAAAAAAAGCAGTGCATTTTGACGCGCTGTACAGACAATTCACCCAGAAATCTTTTATTTTCTTTTCTTCTCCAGTGAATACTTTGAATAGGGTAATTTCAAAAAGTTGAAAGCTACATTTTCAACAGAATTTTCAACTATTTTGCTCATTCTCTCTTCATTTTCTTTTTTCTAATCTGTTAAGTTCAAAACAGATCAAGTGGGTGTGTATGTGTGTATGTTTATAAATGAGAAAGGGAAAGGGAAACTGACGAAGAAGGCAAAACAAAGGACAGCAAAAACGAACCAGAGCGATGAAACAGACTCGTTTGGGAACAGATTCGGCCAATTTTGCTCAAGCTTCTTTTGAATTCTTGCAAGTTGCGAAAGATTGAATTTTGCTCCTCTCCCGTCACAGTATTCTGGATCTGAGCCATCATGATTGCTCGGCCTAAATTCGATTATTGACAGTGATTATGTGCGGAGACAGAAGAAAGCAGTCTTCCACTAAAAAAAAATGCGTAGATTTACCTTACCAGAGGCCATGGATTGTCCATGGCGAAGCATGTTTCGGCACTTCACAACTATTCGGAAGAGCATCATTGTCAGCACGGCATCTAGCGGCCGGATATATCAATGTCAATTTGAAATAATCGAAATGTCCCGCTTTAGCATGATAACGGTGATGAAAATGATGATAGCGATCAACACCCAGTGCTGTTTTTGCTGATAACAATACGAATGATACTTCAACAAACATCTGCAAAAGCAAGATTCTTGCAGCAGCTGTTACAGTTCAAATTATGAGCAGCACTGCTTGCTCAACTGAACGCATGAACCGCCTGCTACTAAATTAATTGAAAATATTGCGACATGGATCAGTCTTACACTCAGATGCATACACACAAAGACTGTTAAGAAAAGCAAGCGTTAAATTTCAGAACTCATTCTGAATGCCAGGATCATCAGTATGGTGATCCCAGGTTGCTCCCGCACGCTAGATGCAGCAAAGCTAGG